ATGAGCGTGTGTGTGTGCGTGTATGTATGTGTGTGTATGTGGTGTATGTGTATGTATATATATGTGTGTGTGTGATGTGGGTGAGGGGGGTTTCACTGATATTCACCTACATTTGGAGTGCATATATATCGTTATAATGCAGATCTACTCACCAAACTACTTACTTGAAGCTGAATAGTTATAACACACATTATGCGAAGGAAATTAGGTTCAAAATCCAACACTAAAAAATTCTGAAATTGAAAATAATCTGTTAGCCAGTGGTCCCTTGAAACGTTGTATATGGTCTATATTGAATTGATACTTATATTTGGGCAGCTTTTAGCCTACCGGAATATCGGCCTTGACTGATATGGTGTCAGAAGCTGTTAACGTTCAGTGGACGTTGAACAAGAAAGTACACTATGTGGGCCATCTCAAAGCTCCCCCTGTACCGTTATTTATACTTAACTGTAAAAATGAAGCTGTTGTAGCTATTGGCTCTCTGAAGTGTCCTTATGCAAGTCCAAAATGTGTAAACATCTCCCTGCTTCTACTGTTTTACGCTGTTATTGAAGTCGGTTACCCAGCTAGAGGGAAGTACCTACTAGTTCTTCTCTATGCCAATGATATCACTGAGTAAATATCGTAGCCCTGTAACTCTAAACACTAAGAGACACAACACTTCATGTTTGGTGTATGTTTAGTGTGGGGCAAATCCAATCCCTATTGTGTTTACAAAGACACTGACTACAATCCCCCTTGTTACCTAGAGTCATCTATCTTCAACCCTGGAAGTTCAATATACGCGTGATTTTTTTTTGCTTCGGCAATTGTATCTATATTAATCATATAAAAACCCATCCCTTGCATAGCCTTCTGTTTTCATTTTTCAGGCTATGACCCTTTTTTTTACAGAATAAAGAGCACAATGACGCGACATAGTCTCGCTGGGCCCCTGGTTGGCTCTGTAAAGATGGCGACAGAGTTATATTCGTGTTATAATACAACTTTTAAAGGGTGCTGAGTGACAAACGTGTGTGCGTGCGAAGTCTGCGTAGTCTGAATTTTCAATAAACTGTTATCTTCGCAAGAAATGTATTTTCACTATTTTGAACTATTTATTTTTAAATTTTGTTTCGGGACGTTTTCGTCTTTTTAGTACATACATATGTATTTTATTTATTATAAAAAAAGCGCTATGCTTATAATATAAAAAATCCCCCCCCTTGTCAATTGTCGCCTCTTGTCGGGCTTGTTGTGGGCGAGGCTTCCTGATATATTTTTTAAATCCTGTTTTAATTTTTACTTTTCCGTGTTTGGCTCTGTGTGAATAAGTTTGTTTTTGTAAAAACAAAACCAAGTATTTATATACATACATACCTCTCAATGCTCTAAAGAATAAATAAATCGGAACATAGCCTTCAATTTGAGGTTCTGAATTCTGAATTCAGTGAATGAAATCTAAATATATAAAAACTTAAATATTTAGAGACTATCCAGTATCCAATGAGTATGACTTTATAGAATGTTGATTATATTGGCTAATAAGAAGTGGGATAGTATTTATTAAAACAATTAAAATCCCCAAGTTTGAGTAGCCATTTAATATTATTTTTCTTAAAGTATGTATTTAGAAGGCTATAATAAGAAAGTATAACCTTGTATGAAGTAATATGTAGCAGCCGCTACATATTTGTCCTTTTTTTTAAAGAGAACAAAATAGGTTTTTTAACTTTGAGTCAAGTTGTGTCCGCTTGTGATTGTGAGAGTGAGTACTATTCTGTTTTGTAAAAATTGAACAGTAGGTCAGTGCAAACCATTGTACATACATAGTAAATTACTAGATACCTGTTTTATCTTTTTTTTGGTTTAAAACAATATCAAAGTACATATGTATTTACTATGTAAATACTACATAACTATGTACAAACATATTTACTATTTTATAGGCTGAATACATATACCAATTATTTTTTTAACTTTAAAAATAACCAGCTAAATACTTCATCGTGTACAAACGTTTTAAATCCTAAAAAAAAGTTGACTTTTTAACGTTTAACGGAATTTTTATAGCGTTGCGTACTTTGGTATATTTTGACTTGTGTTACTGAAAAGGAAGTATACGTTTGATTTGCAATGTTAAACGGATCAATTATTTTGCGTCGCAAGTTATAACGATATGAGGTTAAAAATAGCTACTGTTTATAAAAATACACGACCACCTGGCACCTGCCACCACGCAACATGCGACACGCCTCCACAGTCCACGCCCCATGGACCAAAACGCTGACGTCGCTGAGTCGCTGTCTCGCTGACCATTAGGTTAAAAAAAGTTTTAAAAAAGTGACAGTCTTTTGAAAGTCATAGAGACATATTTAGACCCTCCAATCTCCTTTCCCATATGACTATGTTTTCGAGAATAAGTCTACGACGAGGTCGAGAGTATGAGCCGCCCTATGAAAGGGCTAAATATATACATGTATTTATATGTATTTACCCATAGCCTCCTTAGAAAAAACAGCATCTATCTATTTTTTCAAAAACAAATATTGATGCAGGCCTGTGTTGATTTAACCAAAAAACAAAAATTGAAAACGAGGCTTTATTTTATCTGACATCGGTATTCTAATAAGGAGTAAAGTGGTCACATGTCCAGTCATGTCAAGAAGTGTCAACATAAAAAACTAAAATATATTGAAAATGTAAAAATTGGAAAATATTTACCATAGCGACCGACCTTGATGGCTATTTCTGTTGTTCACGGTCAGGTCTTTTACGGACGTGTTTATGTGTATGGCAATTTTTCTTTCTATGCTTTCCAACAAGTTATATTTTTCCGTATTTCCTTCTTCTGTATCTCTCGCCAAATACAACAAGAGAGAATAATAGAGAGGGAGGGTCACATGAATGTATTTCAATACAACAAAACTTCGAGGTCAATATAATATAATATATATCGAGTTGTAGTTGTGCTCGGCTACACATCAGTGTAATTGAAAGCATATTTAAAGGTGGCATATGCTATATAGTACACACGAAGGCCTTATTTGAATATGAAGGGTGCTAGCAGATCAATTATACTAGCGTTAACGCTATATGCAGGGTTCCTAACCTACCACAATGTGTATATATACCCAGCTAGCTCAGCTGCGTCGAAAAACTCGCACCTCACAGATCCGGTTAATCACAGCACCTGCCCTAAATGCGACAACACAGACGCAAAGAACAACCCCAAGGACACTCTACCTGTGGGTGGCTCTGGGGCGTTAACTCGCGATACAGAGGTGCACAAACATATCAGTCTACCCCCAACCCCAGCGGATTTAATGGACGCTGGAACGAGACAGTTGTACTGTTTTGAGTTGCATGGTATTGCAAGTACGGATAACATCCAGGTACGATTGATAGGGTGTGGGTGTATCCATTTGTATTGAGTGTAGTGATGACAACTAACTGTGATTTAAAAGTGTGTGAGTATATGCATTCGTATTGGGTGTAGTGATGACAACTAGCTGTGATGTATAGGGTGTGTGTGTATGCATTCGTATTGGGTGTAGTGATGACAACTAACTGTGATTTAAAAGTGTGTGAGTATATACATTCGTATTGGGTGTAGTGATGACAACTAGCTGTGATGTATAGGGTGTGGGTATATCCATTCGTATTGGGTGTAGTGATGACAACTAACTGTGATTTAAAAGTGTGTGAGTATATACATTCGTATTGGGTGTAGTGATGACAACTAGCTGTGATGTATAGGGTGTGGTGTATGCATTCGTATTGGGTGTAGTGATGACAACTAACTGTGATTTAAAAGTGTGTGAGTATATCCATTCGTATTGGGTGTAGTGATGACAACTAACTGTGATGTATAGTGTGTGGGTGCATCTATTTGTCGTTTGTATTGAGTATAATATTAGCATCCTAGTATGATATGTAGTCTGGTGTGAGTGTAGTAATACCATCATCAAGGTATGATGTATAGTGTGAGAGTTTTTATTTCGTATTGAGTGTGATAATAACAACTAAGTATGATGTATAGTGTGGGAGTACATACATTCCTGTAGTGTAGTAATATCACATATGTATCACGATACATAATAACGGTACACAATAACGGTACAGGTATACCCCATTCGAACTCAACACCTCTCGGCTGCCCTTGAAGTGTGGGGGCTAGTATGAATGCACGCTACGAGTTACTACGCTCGTAACTACATGGCGGTTCCTAATACTAAACAGACCTCTAATTTAAATATTATATATATATATATATATATATATTATATCAGGTTGTGGATGTGAAGGGTGTTAGAAGTACTGAGCGAAACCTTAAGATGGCACTCTACAAAAGTCAGACGGATATTGTCAGTGGCTCCTTAAAAAACGAAGGCGCGTGGGAGTATGAATTGGTGAAGAACTTTTGGCGTCGAGTGACCGCAGCGAAGGAGTCCCCAAAGACTGGTAAGTTTTCTTAGTATCTATCGATATATATATATGTGTGTCTGTGTGTGTGTGTGTATATATATATATGTCTGTGTGTGTGTGTATGTATGTATTTATGTAGAATCTATATATCTATAGATCTATATGTTATGTATATATCATATTTTTATGTATATATCATGTATCTATATATATATATATTTGTATTTATACGTATGTATGTGTACATATATATATGTGTGTGTGTGTGCGTATATATATATAATTGTACATAATGTATATATATTTATATTTATAATTATGTATGCGAATTTATATGCGTATGTATGCGAGTGAGTGTGTGCGTGTGTGCCTATATATTATATATATATATTTATATAATTGTATATATGTATATGTGTGTGTATCAGATATATGTATACGCAAACTCATGCGCGTACACAACTTTTTGCACTTCAATACATATACCTTTTTATATCATTATCACGCAAATCTATACATATAACACCCCACTTTGTTTAATGCAACTGTAAGATTGTGTGTATATAAATAAGTGTTCATGTCTCATTTGATAGTGAATAAAAGTACATACCGATGTGACGGGTACCTCTTTGCGTTGGTAGCTTCTGCGGGTAGAGGAACGTGTTCGCGTTCTCGAATATACGTTGCACTTGAAATAGTACTTATACACGTTAAAGGAACACATACAACCATATAAACGAAGATTCATAAAGTTATATAAATACGCTAGACGTTTCCTATATATGTACTAGTGCTCGTATGCGATACGTGCAACCATGTAGGTGCATAAATTTCTATACATACGTTTATGTATATATACTAAATATTCCATGGATGTACTATTTACTAAGTTCCCGATATACGTACTATTCAGTATATATATGTATAATATATGTACTAATACTCGTATGTGATACATACAACCATAGCGGTGCAACGAAGGTTCGTAAAGTTATATACATACGTTTATGTATATATACTAAATAATCCATATGTGTACTATTTACTAAGTTCCCGATACATGTACTATTTAGTATATATATGTATTTATACATGTACTAATATTCGTATGTGATACATACAACCACATCGGTGCAACGAAGGTTCGTAAAGTACTAGACATACGTCCATGTATATATCCGAGAGGGTCCCCATATACACGTACACCCCTTGCCTGATAGGTCGTGCCATAGTATGTGTGTGTACATACACGCGTGTTTGTGTTGCATGAGTGCATGAGAGTCCGGTCATAGCGTGTTCAACTTCAGAGATGATACCAGACCCTAAACCCTAAAAACCGCATGCATGTAGCACCCCGTGCCCGTCCACATGTTCGTTGTACATACCTACCTCGTCTTGTGTCGAACTATCCGTTGCTTGGCAACCATTTCTATCGCGGATTCCCCCGTTAGCTGGTGTGGTTCAGGCATGCTCGAGTGTTCCGTTCTGTATCGCAATGCATTCTATACGACCGATCTATAAGGACTTTTATCTCATGCTTGTGCCTTACCTGTGGACTCCAACTATAGTATAGTCACACACACGTCTTATACACACACACATACACAGGCATCTTCCTGGATGTAGGTGCCAGTGTAGGGTACTGAACTCTTACCCACAAATCACACGCACCTCTCTGTATCCACACACACGTCTTCTTACACATACACACACATACACAGGCATCTTTCTGGATGTAGGTGCCAATGTAGGGTACTGGACGCTGGTTGGGTTAGATCTGGGCTACAGTGTACTGGCAGTCGAGCCTATGCATGAGAATGTGCGTCTGTTAAAGATCACCCAGTGCTTGAACCCGCAGTTTGAAGGGAAGCTCACTGTGCTCCCGATTGGCCTGGGTGTGAAAAAGGCAACATGTCATGTCATGAGCGATAATAAGAATGTGGGCGACGGCCATACGATCTGCGGCGCAGAGGGTGTGTTTACTTTGTGTATTTTTTTGTTTGTCATGTGTGTGTGTGGGCGTTGTGTGTTTTGTTCCTCATGTATGTGTGTGTGTGTGTATGTGTGTGTGTTCTGTTTCTCATATGTGTGTGTGTGTGTGTGCTTTGTGTTGTTTTTTTCTCATGTGTGTGTGTGTGCTTTGTGTGTTTTGTTTCTCATGTGTGTGTGTGTGCTTTGTGTTGTATTTGTCATGTGTGTGTTATGTGCGTGTGTGTAGATGGGTGTTGTACTTAATTAGGTATGGATTGAGTACAAAGATATATATCTGTATTTACGCGTACGTATGGAGTCGTCCTTTCAGTTCGACAGGTATGACTTGTATACTACAGTCTGTTCGTAGAAGTGGCATGCCTAGAACTCATATACTGTATATAAAGTTCGTGGATGTCGCATATCTTTGTAAGTTTGGTACGTACATTATAGTTGCCAATTAGTTACGTACATAACAGTTGCCAATTAGTTACGTACATACTACCAAATAGTTACGTACATAATAGTTGCTAATTAGTTACGTACATAATAGTTGCCAATTAGTTACGTACATAATAGTTGCCAATTAGTGACGTACATAATAGTTGCCAATTAGTTACGTACATAATAGTTATCAATTAGTTACGTACAAAATAGTTGCCAATTAGTTACGTACAAAATAGTTGCCAATTAGTTACGTACATATTGATGATTCTTATTGTGCCATCGATCTATAAACCTATTTTCCCTATTGGGTGCGGTGATTTATTTCAGAGTTAGAGATTGTACCAAATATGTACAACATACGTACCTATAAAGATATACACGTATTTCAATATGCACATGTTTCACATATACGAATACGTCGTCATCCTCTAAGCACTCACTCGCACACAAACCTACATGTATATATTATGTGAATTCCACGTAATCAACTCTATGCTACCATCTACATGACCTCTTTCAATTACCGTTCTCTATTTTCATTTCTAAATCTAATGTCCTGTACCAAAGTCTGTATATAAGCCAATACACTATAATACACCCCCTAGAACCCAAATTCCTTTCTTAAATTCTCGATCCCTCTCCTAAATTCCAAACTTACTCTCGAAACCCCACAGCCCTTCAAGCCTTCAAGGACGGCGACACTCTCAATCAGTACAGTGAGCGTTCACTCGTCAATATTGCCAAACTAGACGATATACTAGACACCACACAGACCCCCATCGCCGGGATGAAGATTGACATCGAGGGCTTTGAGCGCTTTGCCCTGTCCAAAGAAGGATCGGACCGGTTCTTCTCGGGCCTGCACCCGCCCAAGGTGATTGGGTGCGAATTGTACCACTGCTTTAGCGGGAAGGACTGTGACGCCGGGGATAGGGAGTTCATCGACCTCATGACCGAGCGAGGGTTCCACATGCAGCACCCCATTTCCTGGTCCAATACGGCCGATAAGTTCGAGTTTTCGGACCGGATTGCCCTGATGTCGGATACCTTCCTCATTCGGGAGTGAACTATGGGGCGGGGGTGGTTTAGCGTGTTTCGTATACCTCATTCATTTCGTATGGAAGTATATATATATATATATGGAAGGTGATGCCGGAGGTCGCGCGCGTAGATTATAGTCCTCGTCCGTTTGACCACATGTATTCTGAGTTGCCCCTATCGATGCATCGATGAGACGACAGGAAGAGTGCGCCATTCGCACCATCCGGTTGCCATGACAACAACGGACAAGCCAACGGATTGGAAATCCAGCCCCATGGGGTGTGCGCTGGTGATACGTACCGAAACGGGACACTGCGACGTATAAGAGAGAGCGGATAGAGAAAAAGCTTTGTCAGTGTTTGTCGTATGGCCGACGGTGATCTCGGGGGGTATACGGATACATGGTACCTACAGTAACTACAGTATCTACAGTAGGTGGCATGAGGTGTGTTCTCGAATACCGATGTGGGTCGAGTGTCTCTCGAGGCTTTGTGATAGTACTGGCAGGGGATACAAACCAGTCAATAGACCGTGGCGAACTACAGCCACAGTCTACAAGCTCTGGGGGTTAGTACTACGCGTGGTACACTACTACTTAGCATCAAACTACAGCCACAGTCTACAAGCTCTGGGGTTAGTATTACACGTGGTACACTACTACTTGGCATCGAACTACAGCCACAGTCTACAAGCTCTGGGGGTTAGTACTACACTTGGTACACTACTACTTACCGTAGGGCACTTCGGGTTCTCATCCTCATAGGGCGAGGCATACCCCTATGTATCTGGATGAGATCAATACGGCGTTTAATGGGTGATATGATAGGTTGCCATGGCAACGCTGCGAGAGCCGGATAATTGTCCACTGCTGGGTGTGAATTTGATGGGTGGTATGGAGGTGGGTATCCGGAACTCCACCGCAGATACCGATATCATCTGAAAATCAAACAGGGACGTCCCAATATATATGGCCGAAGCGCAGAGGTGGTCATGGGTCCCCGCCTACGAGAACCCCTTAAGAGATACGCCTAGTTTAGCATAAACTAGGGATTCGCCTAGTTTAGCAACTATGTGAGCGGAACTAAACAACAGAAGCGAACTCACTAAGTAACATAGGGATACGCCTAGTTTAGCAACTATGTGAGCGGAACTAAACAACGGAAGCGAACTCACTAAGTAACATAGGGATACGCCTAGTTTAGCAACTATGTGAGCGAAACTGAATAACGGAAGCAAACTCACTAAGTAGCATACCGATACGCCTAGTTTAGCAACTATGTGAGCGGAACTAAACAACGGAAGCGAACTCACTAAGTAACATAGGGATAAACCTAGTTTGGCAACTATGTGAGCGAAACGGAACATCGGAAGGGAATTCACTAAGTAACATAGGGATACGCCTACTTTAGCAACTATGTGAGTGGAACTGGACAACAGATGCGAACT